GGTGTGATAACGAGCAGGTGTGATAACGAGCAGGTGTGTTGATAACGAGCGGGTGTGATAACGAGCAGGTGTGATAACGAGCAGGTGTGTTGATAACGAGCGGGTGTGATAACGAGCAGGTGTGATAATGAGCAGGTGTGATAACGAGCACAGGTGTGTTAATAATGAGCAGATGTGTTGATAACGAGCAGGTGTGATAACGAGCGGGTGTGATAACGAGCAGGTGTGATAACGAACAGGTGTGATAACGAGCAGGTGTGTTGATAACGAGCAGGTGTGATAACGAGCAGGTGTGATAACGAACAGGTGTGATAACGAGCAGGTAAAAAATGAGCCTTTTACCTCGGAGCTCTCCAGGAACTGAAGGACGTCAGGATCCTTCAGCAGGATGGGATGCTTCACTGTCCTCATCAGATACCTGAAACAGGAAGTGCTCATCAGAGGACTGGTGGACTCATAACGAGGACCAGGTTCTGGTCCAGTCATCCCGTATGTCCGGGTCAATATTATAGAACAGCTTCACTGAACTAAACATTAAACATGTTCAGCTCATTAGACTGAACCTCAGAGCAGGAAGTAAAGCTCAAGGCCCAGCGCTTCCTGCTGACTCAGCTTTCTGACACCCCTCAACTGATGTCTGATCCAGCTGGTTCTGGTTCTGCTCCTCTTCACCGTACCTCTCCAGAGCAGACCTCCTCTTCTCCACAAACTCGTTGGACGACTGATCCTCCTTCCCCACCTTCACCTTCGTCATCCCTGCAGCAGTTAGAAGAGACATCTGGTTTCCTCTTCCTCATTAATCATCTGTATATTTATCATCGTGTTTATTTCCTGTCTGTACTATAAAATAAACAGAATATTACTGGTTTAAACTGGTTTCATATGATAGTAAATATGTAATGTTTTGACCTTTGAAAGAGAAAAGCTGTAAAACCTCCTGAACTCTGCTTCAAACGGACATTTTGATGTCAACAATTAAAATATTATTCATTTATTCCTGCAGCAGAGAATCTGTCTGGTTCTGTTCTCTTACCCACAATGCTCTTCTCCGGCGCAGGGGGCACGATGTAACCGATGTGGAGGTACTTGGAGGCCAGTTTACTGTGCAGACCCAGAAAATCACTGAAACGTCTTTTAACTGAGAAGTCCCTCTGCTTGAACAGAGACATGGAGGTCTGAGACACAGAGAGACAGAGAATCAAAACCTGATGGTTTCATGCTTAAATCAACCAGAACAAACAATAAACAACAAACAAACATCAGTAAACAAACATCAGGAAGGAGCTCTCTTTAGTTTTATATTCAGACACAGGAAGCACCTTTTACCCTCATCACCAATCAGGTGTCAGACTGAGTCAAATAACTGATAAATAACTGATAAATAACTGATAAATGAGATAAATAACTAAATAATAAAAATAAGTCGTAAAGAAATATTTTATTTTGAAGCTGGATGAGACTCTGACCTTGGTCGTCACTTTGTAGGCCATGTAGGCGTTCATCCCGTCACCTGAACACACAAACACACACCTGTCACCTGTTCAGAAAACTGAACTGAAAGATTCAAATCATTTTTACAGAAACTGAGCTCAAACATGGGGTGGTAGTAGCTGAGAGTCATCCACAACATAGAGAAACATTTAGCTGGTATTTATTAGTTACTGAATGAATTAAAATGTTTTAATGTTTTAATTTGTGTTGTTTGATTAAATCTGAGCTGCAGTAACAGTCTGAGCCTGCAGGGGGCGACACCAACATCAACTGCTTCTAAAAACCACAGTCTCTGCTGCAGGTCTGCATTTTATTCTCCATCACTTCCTGCTGACAACAGCAGGGGCTGATGGGAAATGTAGGCTCAGGAAGTGAATAAATCCTAAAATACAACTCTAAGATTTCAAAAGTTTCCAGGTTTTTCCAGGACAACTGAGGTCCCATCATGGAGGACTCACCAACTTTCTCTGGGTCGGAGACAGAAATGTGAATGTCGAAGGAGTCGCCTCCCTCCTCCTCCTCGATCTGCAGGAAACACAAACAGCTTCAGACAAAACAAAACAAACACAAACACAAACAACAACACAAACAAAACAAAAACTAAACTAAACTAAAACACATGAACAAAACAAACCCAAACAAACAAACAAAACAAAGAAAAAAACAAACAAATCAAGCTAAACAAAATAAAACAAAACTAACCCAAATAAACCAATACAGAAACAACAAAACAAACATAACAAAAAACAAAACAAAATAAAACACAAACAACAACACAAACAAAACAAAATGAAAAAACAAAAACTAAACTAAATTAAAACACGTAAACAAAACAAACCCAAACAAACAAAAGAAAAAACAAACAAATCAAGCTAAACAAAATAAAACAAAACATAAGCACAAAAACAAAAGAACAAGCAAAACAAAAAATAAAATTAAAAAACAAGCTAAACGAAACAAACAAACCCAAATAAAAACAAGACAAAACCAAACAAAAACAAAACAAACCCAAATAAAACTAAACAAAAGCACAAAAACAAAACAAAAAACCAGGCAAAAATAAATAAAAACAAGCTAAACGAAACAAACAAACCCAAATAAAAACAAGACAAAACCAAACAAAAACAAAACAAACCCAAATAAAACTAAACAAAAGCACAAAAACAAAACAAAAAACCAGGCAAAAATAAATAAAAACAAGCTAAACGAAACAAATAAAAACCCAAATAAAACAAAAGAAAACCAAACTAAATCAAAACTAACCCAAATAAAACAATACAAAAACAACAAAATAAACCAAAACAAAATTAAACAAACAAAACAAACCTAAATAAAACTAAACAAAAGCACAAAAATAAAACTAAAAACATGCAAAACAAAAAACAAACTAAAAAGTACACGAAAACAAACTAACAAAAATCCAAACAAATCAAGCTAAACTAAACAAACACACCAAAAAAAAAAGAAAAAAAACAAACCTAAACAAATAAAGCAAAACAAAACTACACAAAATAAAATAAAACAAACCCAAATAAAACTCAACAAAAGCACAAAAACAAAACTAAACAGAAAACAAACACAAAACAAAACCTTAACTGTGTGTTTACTTCATCAAAGGAGGAGTGTGTAAACATGTCGTCGTGGGCGTGGCCAATGCGTGGCGTGATGACGGAGGTGGGCGGGGTGATGGGGGTGATGGCGGGGGACGGACCGTCGGACAGCAGGACATCTCTCTCAGGACTGTCCAACGACACTTCCTCAGTGGCCTCTGCAACAAACAGACAAACAAACAGACAAACAAACAAACAAACAAAAGTAATTAACGTGTCAGTTATTGTAAACAGATAACACAACAGCTGATGGCTGACAGGAAATAATAATCTGATTATTGTCGTTGATGTTTTTCTACCTGAAGACAATAAAACCAGTAAACATTTGTGTGCAGGTGAAGCAGGAAGCTCCTCCTCAGAAATGCCAGGATGTAAACAAACAAACAAACAAACATCTGAGGTGTTTTCTTGGTCTAACCTGCGAACAGATCCTCGGTGTCGTCGTCAAACACAGAGTTGTGTTTGGGTCCGTTTGAGTTGATGCTGATATCCACCGCAGGAAGGCTGGCAGGCTGCGACTACACAAACAAACAAACAAACAAACAAACAAACAAACAAACAAACAAACAAACTGAACACAGACTCAATAAGAGTAAAGATAAAACTAAAACCGACCTGTTTTCTTTATAGAAATCTGTTTTTTTAAGAATAAAAATCTGTATTTTTATAAAAACTTCAGTTTTACAGAAAAACAGATAAAGTTTGTTTTTTCTACAGAGAAACTTTTCTGAAGTTACATGAACCTGAAACCTGATGGAGCTAAATAAAACCTGAACATTCAGACCAGACCAGTCCAGACCAGTCCAGACCAGACCAGACCAGTCTCAGACCAGACCAGACCAGACCAGACCAGACCAGTCCAGACCAGTTCAGTCCAGTCTCAGACCAGACCAGACCAGACCAGACCAGACCAGTCCAGACCAGTTCAGTCCAGTCTCAGACCAGACCAGACCAGACCAGACCAGACCAGTCCAGACCAGTCCAGTCCAGTCTCAGACCAGACCAGACCAGTTCAGTCCAGTCTCAGACCAGACCAGACCAGATCAGACCAGTTCAGTCCAGTCTCAGACCAGACCAGACCAGACCAGACCAGACCAGTCCAGACCAGTCCAGTCCAGACCAGTTCAGTCCAGTCTCAGACCAGACCAGACCAGTTCAGTCCAGTCTCAGACCAGACCAGACCAGATCAGACCAGTTCAGTCCAGTCTCAGACCAGACCAGACCAGACCAGACCAGACCAGTCCAGTCTAGTCTCAGTTCAGTCCAGTCCAGACCAGTCCAGTCCAGTCCAGACCAGACCAGACCAGTCCAGTCCAGTCCAGTCCAGTCCAGTCCAGTCCA